GGGGGGGGGGGGGGGAGAGGATATTGGGTGGACAACTTGGAGGAAGCGGAGGAGGTAGAGATGGTGTCAGGGGTGGGGAATCGAGCGGAGGCGAAGGTGGCAGGGATGATTGCCGTGTACCCGAAGCGATCAAGGAGCGGGGACAGGAGGAAGAGGTGGGCCGGAGAGAGACTCTCGGCAGGGACAAAGGCGGCAGAGGTGGGGTAAGAGGCGAGGGGCATGACGGCAGTGGGGGAGGGGGGGACCGTGTGCCCGGGGAAGAGGCCGACTGTGCGGGGGGCGACATTTGGGCGGGCATCAGGGGGGATTGCACCTCTCTTGAAGGCTGGAAAGGCGGCCCATTGTGGACATGGGCGGGCGTGACAGCTATCGGATTCAGCACTTCCATGGCATCCCGTGCCTGACCCGGCAGTGGTGTAGCTTTCATGAGTTTTTTCCTGGCTTTTGCTAAGTTAGCATGAATGACTTCTACCAGCTCAGCTTTGGCTTGACAAATGCTAAAGGCCGCCTCTTGCCGTTCTGCTGAACATCTTACATGCCATATAACCATGAGGACTGCCATCCTCATGTGTTTAAACAAATTGCTCTGGAAGGATGTCCATGTAGAAGAGGCGCCCGAGGGCGACATGGGAAAAGGTAGTGGTTAAAAAAAAAAGGGAAAAAAAGAAAAACAAAAGCTTGCTACCTCCTTAGGAAAACCTTTTCTGTAAGGGGTGTCTTCTGGAAACTATCATCCATGGCAACTTTGCAGATGGAACCGGTTCTTTTTCCTTCTCTTTTTCTAGGCTTCAAAAGTTAACGTTGTGCAAACGCGACAACATTGCTGCTGCCTTTATCAAATGATCGATCTTAAATAAATTTGGCTGTGTGGCTCCAATATCATAAACCTCACTGACATTTGACATTTGTGAATTCCGGTGCAGGAGAAGGAACTGTTGCATGCGCGAACGGTGATGGAATGTAGCGTTGCCGAGAAGGATGCGACGATCGAGGAGCTCCGAGCTATGGTGGAAAGGATGCAGCTGCGCATGAATGAAACCACTCATGTTCTGGAACGCCAACATGCAGACTTGCTAACCATGGACATATAATGATATCCAATATTATCCATATTTTACGACAATTATGCAAGCTACAGACATGCGGTTGGAGGTACTCTTGGAGGAGGCATAAGGGGGAGAGCAAAGCGGAAAGGTGGGTAGGAGGGAGGGGATGCTGCGGTGGCAGGCAAGAAGGAGACCAGGGTCATGCCTAGCATCTTAACCCGAAAATCACATGTGTCGTTGTATTCAAATTTCAAATACATGTGTTATGCTTATGAATTCCTAGGTAGAACTTTTGTGACGAGGACTTCCACTATCGTAGTACCCCCTGCAGTCTTCTATTGCTGTGTCAGGCAGGCCGTAGCTGGGCAGGGGTTGGCGGGACACATGGTTGGTCTTTAATAAACAACAGTCCTGACCAATAGCAACATCTGTTGGAAAACACAGGATTCTGCCAAATGCGAGGGAAAAATGCATCAGAAACACCTACCCTTCAATCAGAGTCTCCCGCCACCCCATCTGAACCACAAGAATGTCGTTAAAAGAAACAGGCAGGTACCCATCGCAGTTTTGCTTGTGACACAACACAAATGTGTCTAGCCGTGCCATTGCGTCCATCGCTTATTGTGCATCAGTACGCGGACTCGGTACTGTACCATGTGTCAAATGTGGTGCCATGTAAATCAGGTGCGGTGGCCAGGTAGTACATCCACTTGAAAAACGCACACACACACACACACACACACACACACACACGCAGTGACTTCCCTCACACGACGAATGCTCATTAGAGGCCATCCCCCCAGTGTCCTGGCCAGAGGTTGGAATGCATACGTGCGCGGCCGGCAGCGCCGGTTACCCACTCATGTTACACGGCTTTCGAACTGGTTTCGGCGCATGGTACGCTGGGCAATTGCCCACCCACTCCCGAATGCAAATTCTGTTCGCAGGTCTTTCGCACAACCGCACGCAATAGGAAACATCCCGCAGCC